CGCAGTTACTAGTAAAGTTACCAAAAAAGTAACTTGTAACTGTAACTTCGTTACAAGTAACGAGTTACTTCCATTCTCTGCAGATATGCAAGAAACTGAAAAGATCCCATTAAAGAAAAATTATTAATTTTTTAAAAATAAACTTGTAAAATGAAATAATTATTATTGTGTAAAATAAACTTTGCTCTTAAGTTGTTAATATGCTCAAAACCAGAAGATTTTGATAGCTTGCATAAATGCATCTACATAATTCAAAATTCTACTTACTCATCTTTAAGCACTCGAAATATTTCTTGAATTTTCAGGTTTTGGCTTCCACTTAGGACAAACATTCCATTTTTAATTAAAAGTTTCACATATTGTATGGTGTAGATATCGTCGTCTGAAATTAATTGGCACAGGAATTAGCTAATGTTCTTTTGTATATATCTTTTAATATCAAATGAACTGTGTTTTAAAAGCTGGAAGTATAAATTTATTTGTGAAAAGAGAGAACTTAAGAAACTATTCTGTCCAGTTTCTCAAGTGAACACATACTATATGGAATTGTACTTAAAGAATAATAACTACAATATATGAAGTTAAATAAGTATGTTCATAATTGTGGATTAATATTATTTGCTTTTTGCTCTATGAACTTGGGCATCCTGAACTTTTTGAACATATATTGCACACTAAATTGACATTTTTTTGTTTTATGACAGCTTGGATGCATTGCCAACTATTGTAAATGTGACAATTTTAAAAAACATATATGATGAGTGAAGGTATATACAGAAATCAATCATGAAAATAAAACAATCATTTTTATATTTTTTATAGTGCAAATAAATTATTTAAGGATTTTACATTATGCATTCTATTTATTCAAGTTTTTCGAGTAATAATATCCAAATATTATGTACATACGTCTTTATTGTTTACATGGGAATAACCTCAAAATCCAAGATCATGCAAGATCCGTAATTCTACTTACTCATCAATTTACTGTATAACTCTATTTCACTTGGTTGAAATAATAATGAAAGCGTGTCATTATTGACTGAAAGAAACGCTTAAATCTTCTAATTGTTCCATAGCTATAGTAGAAAAAATATTATGTTTCCGCGGCACTAGAATTTGAGCTGTGTTTAGCTGGGAGTGCAAGAAACTCGCACTTTCGGCAACCTCGTGCAGTGCTGCTACCACTGAACGAG